TTTACCATTGTTTGCTTGTGGTTTTCTCCTTCTCTCCTCCTAGGGCTAACCAGATCAAATGAAGTGGGCTGTCTTATATAGTGGTGGCAGCTTCCTGTTGGGCAGGTTCATTCCATTGTTCCCTGAGTGGTGGGGGAGTTTTTGCCTTGACCTTTAATTGACTGCTTATTTTGTTGATTTATTATTGATTGAAGAATGTTTGATGGAGGAATGTATTAAATGATGTGTATTTTTTTGCAGGTCTATTGTGGGGCCTTTTGCAGAGGTATTTGGTGGAGCAGAATATTAATCGGTGATTTAATTGGGAGTTGGTTGGGCTGGGGAGGAGCTTAGTGTATATAATGCCCCGGCCAACACCAAGCTCGAGGAAGAGTAAGTGACTCACGCCAGAGTAAGCACATTGTGGGTGTGATTTGAGCGTGGATTTTTTTGGGTTTTTTCTCTTTTATTATAATTGACACTTTTGTTTTGTACATTGCAAATAAATACACAGCTTAACAGAAGTTTGCGACTCCAGCCATCATCCTTCAACAATAAGAATCCCATGTTTGTTTGACAGTGGAAATCCTAATTCCCCAGTTTTGTTAACTTTTAGTGGTAATGTACTCCCAGCAAGGGTGTTCATTGGCTGTATCAAAGGTCTCCCCTATGTTTTAAATGTCAGAGATATGCCTATCTCCTGCAGGGGAAGCAGAGTGTTGTAACTTTGTGAAGGCAATGCAAGTTCAGGATGTCAGAGCAGCATAAGATCGCCTATGGAGAAGCCCTAGTGAAAGTGGAAGGGTCCAGTCACTCAGTCATCTTTGGAAGGTCATCAGTGGGTGGGTCCTTGGCATCTCCTCACCTCCCATAGCCAATCAAGAAGTAGTTCGAGTCAATAAGGAAGCCCTTCTTGCATTTATAGTTGATGTGATGTATGGTTCTCAGGAAAAGAAATTAGATGTTGAGGATGTTTAAGTTTTGTTTTCCCTTTGAGTTTTTCTGTGTTTTTTATTTTGGTGGTAGGTTTGCTACATTTAGAAAAACAGGTTTTCAGTATAAAATTTGAGTGTGAAGTATCTTTTCAATGCTTAATAGATGATGTATGGAGTTCTCAGGGTAAAATAAATTTAGTCAACTTCTATAATCTATGTAAGCCTCTAAATCTGAGTTTGAGGATATAGGAAGTAAGATTAGCGCTCCTATCATCTGGGTAGTTGACCTTAATGCCCATAACTGAAACAGGTATAGTATGGACCCAAATGCAGCACAGAACTGGATATAGTTTGTAATTACCTTTATTAATGAAACAGAGATATTGCAGACAGGTGGGTATTGGGGATAGAGGAAGGGGTCCGGGGCCGGGGCTAGAGAGCCGTGCTGCAGAGCAGGTGAGTGGAGCGGGTTGGGGAGGCTCACACAGACAGGGACGAACTGGGAAGGAGCAGGCAGGCGGGTAATCAGGAAACCAGCAGGGAAGTACTCACAGGACCAACCCACGAAGAAAGCCAGGTAGATGAGGCAGGAGTCTCCGATGGTGATGATCCCACAGGTAAGATGGGTGGGAGACTCACATAGCAATGTCAGAGCTGCGGAACGCCAACAGCCACAGGGACAGGCAGACGGGAACCAGGATGGGCACAAGCAGAACTTGTGGTCACAGAGAAAAGGCGTAGGCGTTCACTGGGGCAGAGACGAGGCAGGATAGTAAGAGATGAGCGGGGTCGATAACGGGAAGTCGTTCTGGAGATGAACGCTGGAAGGTCTTGCATAATACACAGAGAACAATCTGGCAATGTGTGAGTGGACCAAGGCTGCTTAAATACTGGCTTGATTGGAGATGGAGTGCAGCTGGGAGCAGCAGGTGGGGACGGTGAGGCTGATGAGGAGGTGTGGCAGAGTGGAGAGTGAGACAGAGGGGAGGTGAGTGGAAAAACACCAAAGAGATCAGATAGGAGCAGAGGCGGATTGTGACAATAACCACTTGTGGGGAAATCAGATGAGAGACGCAAATGGTTCTGTGATTGAGGAACTCTTAGACTGTTGCAATCTAGTAGTTACGAATGACAGCAGACCAACTCCATTTGAAGTTAACTGATTTAAAATGTCATGTTTAGATTTGACATTTGCTTCTTCAGCCTTAGCAAGAGTTGGGGAATAGAATGTCTTAGTGTGGCAATCGGGGCTAAAGGGGGGCGAATACAAAAAGGTAATACTATACAATAATTCTAATCGTGAGTACCTTAGAGGAAGTATAGGTTGCCAACAACGCCACTTCAGGAATTGCACCTGGAGAATTAGATTAACTCTTTATACAATGTTTAACATGCACAAGTTCGTTGCTGATGAGGGCTTGAGACTGGGTCCAGAGTACAAATTCAAGTCGTTTTTATTAGCAGTCTGTTAATTTAACAATTTCCCAATAAAATCTTTTACACACTCACACCTTCATACACACGCACACATCCCTCAAGCAATTCAAAAAAAATTCACAAGAAAGAGCAAATAGCAAACTTGGGTTAAACCAATTAAAACACATATAACTAAGCAAACCACACAAATGCAAACAAAAGAAGAACTGGCAAAGACATGCAAAACAAACCAAAATACTACTAATAACTACCCAAAAATAATCAAACAATCAAACGAAAACATGCAAAGCAATTAAACCAAAATACTAATAAGAACTAACCAAAAATAATCAAACAAACAAAAAAAAACATGCAAAACAACCCACACAAAACAAAAACAATTTCAAAAAAATGATTTACCCTCCGTAGGCTACGTGCAATATTTAAAATCTTGAAAACATATACATGGGGCACCAGGGTAAAGAAAAAAAAAAAAAAAAAAAAAAAAGGACGTTAACCAATTTAGGGTCGGAAAAAAACCCCCGATGGATTAGCGTTGGATGCAGGCTGGGTTATTGGAGGGCACCCAAGAGCTTCGGAGCAAGAGGGCTCCCAACACGCAACCACCCACCTTTATAGACTGCGCCCCCTAGGCTGATTCTGCAGCACTAATTAACGTCGCAGCAAGATTGCAGGCCCATACTGCTACATTAGGAACAGATTCATTGGGCAGTAATCATTTTCCTGTGCTGAGACAGTTTGGAAGGTCCCTACTTTTAGTTTCTGGGGACAGAGTTAGAGAAGGGGATAAGTTTGAGGAAGGTACAGCAGTTGTTTTAGAGGAAGTTAATAGTGTTGGATCAATTGATGAGTACAATGATTCTTTAATTGCAATGATCCTGAGGGTGGCTACAGAGACAGTCCCTGTCAGAGAGTTCCCCAAGGGTTATGTTATTGTTCTTTGGTGGAATAAGTGCTGTAACAAGGCAGTGAAGAAAGTGTGCATTCAGAAATTTACATAGAACTTTATTCAGGAAAATGCTATTGGTTACGAATGATGTAGAGCATTAGCAAAGAAAGACTATTAAGGAGGCAAAAAAGAAGTGTTGGAGGACTTTCTGTGGGAAAGTTGATCTGGATACCCCAGTCAGGCAGATATGGTCCAGAATCCATAAAATGTCTGGTAAAGTTGTTAAAACATCAATGCCAGTTCTAAATGATGGATGTTTTGAGGTTGTAAATAGTAAAGAAAAAGCTGATATGTGTGTTAAGATCTTCCAGGATGTTAATAATTGCAAGTCGTTAGGAAAGAAGGGCTTCATGATAAGGGAGGAAGTTATAAAACGAGAGTGCAGTGAAGGCTGGCGCAAATAATACTCCAGGCCAGGATGGTGTAGCATTAACACCACAATTTAGAATTTGCTGTCATTGAAAGGGGGCAGCAGTCCTCTGGGAGGACAACAATGAATTACTTTATTGATAAATTTATCAATCTCATATCGGAAGCCATGACTTCTCGATTCAATGGATCTCCAGTCTCTACTTCAAAAGAACACAACAGGACAACAGCTGGGTGTAAATAAAGGAGTTTATTACCTAAACTACTATCTACAGAGTAAATGCAAGGTGTAATAAACATAAAGATGAAAATAATATTAAACGAGCAGTGTGATGAGTTGGCAAAGGTGGGAGAGAATATGTTAGGGCTATACACTATGGCTATACAGCTAATGATGCTACGTCTATGAATGAGATTTGATGATTAAATATTACTATTACTATATTACTGAGTTGGCTGTGGTTGCCATGGTAACCCTGGAGACACAGGATTTAGGTAGATTCTCCTGGAAGCCGTGTCCCGTTATCATGGTGACGGATTCTGCCGGTGTCTCAGCGGTTCAGCTCTGGACACTCTTGATTTCTGGTCGGGGTCATGGGCAGATGTGTTATCTGCCAGTGTCTGTTGCGGGTTGATGCGAAATAAACTCTAAGACACTTCACTTTGGCTGGATAACGCTAGAGATTGCATAACATTACAGACCTCCCCTCAACTTAAGAATAAAAATTAGAGATGCCTGATATATTGGCAGCCAATACCTCTACCGATTAACAGGAAAATAAATGTCTGATGAAGTCATATCTAATGATATGGAGCATGGCTGTGGCTTTGCTCTTTCGCTCCTCTGCTCTCTGCTTGTTTACACATTCAACAGAGAAAATCAAACTTTCAGGTTGTATTTTACACGAGCAGAGGACAAAGTTGCTTAAATGTGACGTCTTCTGCTGCTTTGCCCACTAGTTTTTTAATTCATCATTAAAAGTTTTTTAAAGTTATTTAAAGAAAGAACAAAAGTTTTTAGGGAAATATCAGAAATGCTCCTTTTTGTCTCTTGAGGGGTGTTTCTGTGTTCGATTGACAGCAGCTGGAGGGGCATGTCTGTGTTTGATTGACAACAGCTGCAGGCTGTGAAAGTGCCGGTGTTAAACCGTAGGGAACGAGATGAACCAAAAATAAAATATGCATTTCTGATGTTTGGTTTTCAAACTCAGGACAAGTGTTCAGAGAAAGAACAAATGCTGCAGCAAACAATAAAATGACGTTTGTCATTAGATCTCTGTTTAAAAGTGATGGTTGGTTATTAAACTAGTCTTTTCCCTGTTTTTTCCCAGGTCCAGGCAGGGAAACTGTACAGAGGAGACTCCCAGCCGAGGAAAGGCTCACAGCAGAAGACAGGCTCACAGCAGAGGACAGTGTCACAGCATAGGAAAAGTTGCTCTCAGTTCGGACACAGTTTGTTAAGAGAGTGTCTGGACCTGTTCTAGAGCAGCCTCTGGATAAACTTTTTGAGCGTGGCGTTGTAAATGATGATGAAATGGAATGAAAATGCATGAGATGGGATCGACACTGTGCGAAGAAAAGGAAGTGAAGCCAGCTTAGTTCTGATCGCTGCTCTCTGGGAGGAAGATCCATGCCTTTCCAGAGAGCTGAGGACTCACATGACTATTGTAATCTTTCAATAAGAGGTTCTGTTGTTAAAGTCTGTGTTTCTAATAAGTGAGCGGACACTGTGATCCAACAGAAGATGTGTCTGACATTATCCATCCATCAGCTGGAGCCAATCCCAGCAGACACTGGGTGAGAGGCGGGGTACATCCTGGACAGGTCTTTATCACAGGACCAACACAGAGACAAACAATCATTCACACGTATGACCCTCAAAACTTCCACAAAGGAAGTAAAAAAGCAGCGTTCAACATGTGCACTACTTTCTGCTGACAATCCCACAATGCAATGCTCCGCATTTCTTGGATGTGAACATTTCCAATGTGCGACTCAACAGCTGACAGTGATGATAATCAGTAACTGAAATCTGAATGTACTGTTTACTATAGAGTAAACTGTTGAGAGTCTGTTGATAGTGACTGAGTGAACAAGGAAGTGATTTCACACACAGTTGACTACACTGGATGGATGTTGAGCGGGAAAAAATCTACTGAGAAGTTGTGTCTGCAAACATCAGGTAACAGACAGATGCTGATCCTGTTTATTAAATGAGATTTCAAACGAAACACTGAGTGAGAACTCTTTTACTCACCACTTGTCCCTTACATGTCTATTACACAGTATACCACGTCACCATTTTCTACATGTGTTCAGTTTACTATGATTTACCATTGTAACATTGTATCCCCTACTGTTCCAGGTTTGTTAGTTTTAGCAATATATTACATTTACACCAAAACACAGGAGTAGATTAAAGTAAACACACAGTCCTAAATTAGGCTCAGTTACTTTTATTATGTTGCAGGTTTGAACTTTGTGTAATGGTTGGTTCCTTTGGTCTGACCACCATGCAGGACTAGTGTTTGGGAGGGGGCCGCCCAGCATTTCCTGGTGTTTATAGTCTTGGAGATTTCATGGTGACATCATTGGGCCAAACCAAGAAGAGGGGTTTATTTTCTATCAAATCATTTCTTTAGATTTTTTTTTTTTTTTTTTTTACTTTTTAAGTTATCTAACTGTGCTTAGAAAGGAGTCCAAGAATGTCAGCTGATTCCTTGGTGTTAAGATTGCTGTGTAGGACAACCTGCTGTGTTGTGGTTCAGTCTGAAGCAAGTTAGGTATGAATTGAACGGTCTAAGGCTACGTCCACACTACTAAAGTACTAAACTACTAACTACATTTAAAGCGATCTCTGTTCATGTGACCGTTTTAACTCCGTATCAGAAAAGATCTTCGTCCAGACTATCACACCTGAAAACACACATATACATGAGCAATCACGTACACTGGGCATGCTCGAGTCGGTGTAAACAGGATGCAGATTTTCTACTCTGCAGGTGATTAGTTGCAACAGCTGCTAGTAACAACAAGGTCAGTAATGCTTGTATTTCATTATCCGTGGTTTATTCACCACTGGTAGTCGAGGCTGATGAGACCCAATCAGGAGAGACCATGGGTGTCTATGTCATCATTTCCAAAGGTCTCTGTTTTCGTCCGTCCAAACTACAACACACCCCTAGAGTTTTCAAACTAAGACGGGGCCAGTAGCATTCCCAAAGGACTTCTATGGCAACATGGCAAACGAGATGTGTCTTAAAACGGCCAATGTAGTAGTGTGGACGTAGCTTATACAAGCAGTTAAACTTTTGCTCCAACCAGGAGAGGTGAGACCATGCTGCCAAAAGCATGTGCCCTTTTTTTAATTTGTCATGAGTTAATTTTATGAGTTATTTCTGTGTTATTTTATGTCTTTTTTGTTTTTGGCGTCATTAAGCTTGAGCTGCATGTGACATGGAGAGGACTGTAAATCAAATATTTACCTCTGAGAAACCAAGAAGTCTGTAGAGTCTGCCTACCCACCACCTTCCTTGACGTTCCAGCCAGACAACTCTACAAAAAGATTTTAAAAGCCAGTGAAAACAAAAAACTAAGCAGGTTGATTGACTAAGCAAAAACTTCTCCTTCTTCAAAGACATCAACGAGAGCGATGACCTTTTTACATCTCCACCCCTTTTTGAGAGGATAGGTCTTTGGTACACAGCTGTGTAAATGTGACATCGTTCCATGTATTATCTTTGTCAAGAAACAGTCAGAAAAAGGAAAATGGACTCCGAAGAACAAGGATAGGAAGACTCAGAGTAAGCTAGTATAGTTTTGGATTGTCAGACATTGCCGGAAAACACCCAAATCCCCTGAAAAACTCTCCAGTTTTGGAACTGGAAAAACTGCATCCAACAGTTTTACAGACGACGTACAATCTGACAGTCATGGCCATGTAACGGAGTTAAGAAGTAGGTGATTCCACTTGCTATAAAAAAAAAACTCATCTTACAACACGCAAATGGTCTGTCCCATGGTCATTAAATGCAGCACCCCTGTGGCTTAGGGTCGTGCACCCCGGGGGGTTAGCAACAGTTGGACCTCGCTGTTCCCCTGGTAGGTGCATGAGCTATGAGCTCCATAATTGTCATATTAATTACTTGAGTTTCCAATAATAAGGGGTGGTTTAAGTATTATTTTAAACATATAGCTCCCGAACGGTCAAGCACATCCTTTTTCATCAAAAGTTGAGGGTGTTTTCTTTTATTTGTGTTAATAAAATGGCTAGTGCTACACATTGTTAGCTAACCTGCACTTTCTTTTCATTTTACATTTTTCAGACGGGTATGTGTGTGTGAGAGAGGAAGACCGGGTTATGACTGTGTTGTTGATCCCTCTGCCAGGTACGCTTTGTGTGTTATTTTGTGTACATTCTGAAACTAATAGCAACAGTTGGACCTCGCTGTTCCCCTGGCCCGAAATAAACGACCAAGTGCCGACTGTGATGGTCATCTTCATTTCATAAATTACACAATGCACAGAGAGAGAGTACAAGGCCGCTACAGCCACATGGTTTGAACGTATCTCTCAGCTCTTTTTTCAATGTTCATAAAACTATTCATCATTTTTCATGTGAACAACTGAGGTCAACACTATGACTTCATGAGAGACTGACATAAGGGGAAGTTATCCACATTTGTTCAGTTCATAGTGTTGAGGCTTCAAAGACAATTTGCTGAAGAGGAGTCAGGGAGTCAGTGGGAGCCAGGAGAAGACTCTGACAGCAGACTTTACTCCACTTGCCCTCCAGTGTGCATATTCACAACAGACAGAAGAACTTTTGCCTTTAGACATGGTCGGACAACATGTCAGACCATCTAGTTTGTTTCAAGCTGACTGAACCCCTTCAGGTATGTTCAGACAAAGTGAACAGTATTTGCACAAATTTGACTGGGATGCATGCTGATTTTTTTAACCCTTTATTTGAGTGGACAGAGACAGGAAATTAGGGTAATAACATGCAGCAAGCAGTCGAGCCAGCGGGAAACGAACCATGGATTCGTTGTTCAGGGCATTCACGTCCTTGTCATATGTGACCTAACCACTGGGTTGTGGAGTTGCTTTGTGTAGATCTCACTTCACATTGTATCCAAACAGACAGTTAATGTTCACTCTCAGGGAGGTCTATGGCTCATCAGACAGGACTACAGTCACACACAGGCAACAGTCAGACCTGTTTAAACTAAAGGTTGTTTCAGTCCCACCAATGAGAGTGTGGAGGTCCAACAGTGGCTGTCAGTCAGGCTTTTACTGGGTCCATTCAAACCAGTTTGGTCTGTAATATTTTCCTGACACCCTTTTGAGTATGCAGACAGCTGAATGTTCCCTCCTAATGTTACAATGTAACATATTGTTGTGCTTAGACCCCTTGAAGTAAGCTAGGCTGCTTCACCTGGATGTGCGTGGGTGAAAACACTTCACACGACAGGGAATCTTCCGTTTATGAACTTTACTTAATTACTTAACAGCTTAGTACAGAACATACTGTAGTGTTCATCAGTGATCTAGGCAGTTAAGCTGGGTTGTGGACTCTATAGCTTGAGCACAAAACAGCAAACTACCACTGTTCATGTGATGAGCTGTGGCACCATTCAACCTAAAAAACACTGTCTAACTCTCATAGAAAATCTCGATATACCTTCATGTGTGATCGCATCATGCTCACTAACCAATCAACATGCTATAATTAACAAAGAAGTTACACATAAGGAAAGGGGGGACAATGTTATCCATTGAACTGCCTTACACTACCCCCCTCCAGGATTATTGAGTCCCTCCAGTACAGGTGACTGTGGTGTAAACTGAGTTCCTAGACATGTTCATTTCAGTCTTGGCAAACTAAAAACACATAGAGCTAAATAACAGTATTTTGACTATACAGTCTCTCTTTCAATTACTAGTTCCTGAATCTCACCGGCTTCTTAACTAAGTAGTCAATTTGAAGTTTTAAAAGTCTTTTTCTGGAGAGTCTTTCACCTCTTGTCTTTTTTCTTGCAGATACCTTGGAGCTTCAGGCTTAGGCATTTCCTCTTCATTACATGATAGCTCTTGGGAAGCTCCTTCCTTTGCTAGATCTTCATTATTGTCCCTTTGTCGTAAAGCCTGGGTACCAATGAGATAGAGGTAGCTGGGTCTTGGGACTGCTGCAGCACTTGGCTCCTTTGACGTTTTACCCGAGCAGGAACCACTTCACTATCATATGGTTTAACGTGATCATCGTGCATTATCTTTCTGCGCTTCAACCCTTGAATCTCAGAGTACAGGGCTGTGGCATGCGGAAACAATCAGGGTGCCCTTCCAACGTGCTTGAAGCTTGGGGCTTAGTCCCTTCTTTTTGGTGTCATCCTTCACGTACACCAAATCTCCAGCACTGTAAGAATGTTCCTCTGCTCGAACATCGTATATCTTCTGATTTTCCTGTGCATTGTGGAAATGCTCACTTGCTGAGTTTTGTGCTTCCTCAAGTCCCTCTGCCAAGTTGTA